GGTGGCGGCTGACGAGCCAAACAGCTAATAGAAACAGAGACAGAGGTGGGTACAGCATGGAACATTCTGGAAATTGGATGTCCCTTTATAGGCAGCTCTGTGAGAACCGGCCGCAACGTATTACAGCAACGGCAGCTGCAATCAGGGGTGCCACTACAGATTTTGGGCCCCTGACCCAGAACAATCCAGTTATGTTATGACAAATAAAAATAATTCAATGGGCCATTGGATCTGGTACAAGAGCCCCGATCACGTCAACAGAAAGTCTGTCACTTCTCACTATGTTTAAAAACATGAACCGAAGCTCACCTAGACCTGTGGTTCTCACCCTTTTTGCACTGTGACCCAGTGTTTGCCAAGCCGGCTCAGTCGCAGTCCTACATCAAGTATTGGTCTAAATTAATGCTATGATCAAGCATGCAATGCAATTTACGCCAATCAGTGCCAATCGTATAAATCTGACGGGATGTGCCAGTGAATTTTAAATTAAGCATAAGATCATAAGAAATTTACAAAGGAGAGGAGGCCATTCGGCCCATCAAGCTCGTTTGGGGAGACCTTAACTAATAGCTCAGAGTTGTTAAAATCTTATCTAGCTCTGATTTAAAGGAACCCAGGGTTTTAGCTTGTGCTGCACTAGCAGGAAGACTATTCCATACTCTAACTACATGCTGTGTAACGAAGTGCTTTTTCAAATCCAATTAAAATGTTCTCCTTCTAATTTCCACCTATGGCCACGAGTTCTAGTATTTAAATTAATATTGAAGTAGCCATTTGGCTGAACAGCATCCAGACCTGTTAGAATCTTATAGACCTGGATCATGTCCCCCCTTAGTCTCCTTTTTCTCAAGGCTGAACAGATTCAGCTCAGCTAACCTCTCCTCATAAGACATTCCTCTAAGACCAGGAATCATTCATGTAGCCCTATGCTGAACCCTTTCCAAGGCAGCAATGTTCTTTTTAAGGTATGGTGACCATCTGTGGTTTGGCTACTTGGATTGGTTGAATGTTCACAAGTTTTGCACTAAGCAGTTGCAGCCCCAAGACCCATTTATATAGGTTAATTCTAGGACTGGTGCTGCAAAATCTGATCGTGGGTCAGCATAAGAGCTTGCTGTTTTTAATACGCTTACATTTCCAACTCTGGCTTGTGACTCTTTCAGAACTTGCCGCGACTCAAATTGGGGTTGCGACCCATCGCCGACCTAGAAGACACCTGCCATTCTCATGTCCGGAGGTTATCTGGAGTGAGAGGTAGAGACAGGAAGGTAGAGAAAGTATTGATTTCCAGGTGAAGGCAACCAGTTAGGATAGGAACATGAAAGGCACATTATCTGGGGGGGTGAATTAAGGTGTAGGCTGTCCTAGGCTATAGCCCCCAGCAAACATCAGGGCCCCTGGTCCCACCTTGGGAAAACCGCATCAGCTGATGTCAGCCTAGGGGCCCCAGACGATCTAATCCACCCCTGGCATTTGCCTAAACGACTGTAACCATCATCCTTAATACCAACCTCCTAAAGCCTTCGCCCCCAAAATTCCTGCTAAACACATCTCCTTATTCTACTCTGTGACATAGATAACAGACATAAACACAATATATGCTATTCTGCATGGACCCGCCTCCTTAACCTGTGAGTAATATCAATCACTATAAATCGCCCAGCTTCCCAGACCCAGCAACAGCTCAGCGCAGTGCCTTTAAATATCCATTAGAACATACTTTACCCTGTTTCACCTCCACTCTCATGACAGACATGTTGATGTCTGATCTGTAATCACCTTCCAGACTTAAGCATTACGCCCCCTCTGTGTCACAAGTTTTAAGCATTAAAAAACCATGAAATTCATAATTGACATTAACCTACTGACTTACCCCAAAGCAATGCGCAACAGTCTGTGATAAATGTCTGTGATTAAAAAAATGAAATTTCATAGTTTGATATTACTTGGTATTGTCCCTCATTTTAGGAATGCATTGGCTAGCTGGAAAAGATAATAACTAAAACCAATTAAAGTCTCCTCTCTCCATTAATCATTTAAGTTTATTACCCCATAATAAAACATTATTTTATAGTCAGACAGCTTATTGGTCATGCTAACAGAAGTCATATGTCCTTGTCCAATGGGAGGCTTCAGGCTTTGCCTACTATTGACTATTGACAGCCAATCAGTGCCTGCAGCCATTTCCTTAGAGACAGGGCTCGACTGGGATTAAAATAAGCCCTTGACTGGGGGTTGGAATGGCACATTTTGCCGACTAGGTAGGAGGGTCCACATAGTCACAGGGCTACCTGAGCATGACGCATGACATCACCACAAACAGCTGAGAAAAATTATATTTCATTCTCTTCTTGGGAGGAAGAAGGATGACATCTTTAATCCTATATGTAAAGTATTTGGAGCTGTATGTTATGAATGGGAAGTGCTATGTAAATAACGATTATTATTATTATTATTATTATTAATATTATTATAAGACAGACTATGTTTTTTTTTTACTTTCACCTGCACAAGTTAAAATACGTATAACCACGTGAAAGCTGAGATGAATCCATTTAGGTTGTAAGATGTTCCGTGTTTATCATTAGAGGAATAAATTTGTAAATTCCTGATGTGTGGCAATAGAACTAGACGGTGTTCAGTCTGCTTATTACTACCAGTAATAAAAACAACAACAATGAGAGTAATAACACCATGGGGAATCTGCCTTGGGAATTCGGTCATTTTGATCAAACACAGTGGGGGATTGGATGAGTCTCTCAATGATGTCAGCGGGTTCTGGTGGAGACAATTGGACAATTACCAAGGTGCAAACAATGGATACACTGGCATTGAGTGATGCAGGCAGAAGGTGATCACGTGACTCCGTTCAGTGACCTTGGACCTGTAACTAGCCAGAATGCAAATTATATGTTTCAGGTTGCCTACGCTTTAAGGGTTTAGTACTACTTCTACTACTACTGCTACTACTACTTAAGGGTTAAACTCATTACTCTTTGTATTGATTTCAGTATGCCATACTGAGTCCCCGTAAGCGCCATATCGGTCCCCTTGAAACTGCGTTACACATGCGCCATACAGGGACTCGAGCCCACAGACGCTGTGTCTAAAAATAGCACACGCTCTGGAATGCGGCTGGGAATCTGGGGGGACCCTGTGCCGGGGCGTGTTCTGCTGTAGCATCTGTCCTTTCATTTACCTGATATTACTGTAAAATGGGAAACACGTGTTTCCACTATACTGGAGTGAAATTATTTCAAATCTTAAAGATAAACAGCCTTTCGGCCTATATGGTAATACACCTAGATATATGATTTTAGGAGATGTACAAGATGACTAAATGAATTTGTCAAAAAATATATATATATGTATATATATATATGTGTGTGTGTGTGTGTGTGTGTGTTTAAGTGACATCTTATGCGAAGCAATCTTCCAAAACAATTGTGAAATAGAAAGAGTGAATTGTACATTTAGGTCTTTGCTATCGGTTTTTTGGTTATGTGATTGTGTTATAGTGTTATTTTTGTGACTCACTTTACTGCAAAGCAAATTTACCTTTGGGTACGAATGAAGTTGAACTGAACTGAACTGAACTGAACAGAATGTCAGCCAGGTACAATTGGAATCTTAGTGCGGGTGTTTCTGTTGTGGTCAATTTTCAGCATCTTAGGCTGACATAATGCTGAGAAATACAGCTGTCGTTTAGTTTAATCCATGACTGAAACAACTGACCTGAGGACAAATTCTGACCCAAATGTATAACATTTAGGATACATAATTCCCACTGGTTTAAATTTAATTACTGAGTCCAAGAGATGAGCGTTAAAATGGTCGTGCCGCCATCAAAGAAACTACATGATGATGATGATGATGATGATGATGATGATGATGATGATGAAACCCTTTATTGCTGTTGCAATACACCATGTCACTAGTCACAAGTACCAGTGAAAAACTGGCCATCAACCCGACCATACATACACAAACATCACATTATAGGGGGTAGACAGGTCAGGAAGACGGGGGATATAGGAAGAACAGAGAAAACAGAATTACGTGAGGAGAGGAGAGGAGAGGAGAATAAAAAAACTGCCCCCAGACTGTACTCCAGTAGGGAGTACAATGTAGGAACAGATAAAAACACCTCAGCAACATAAGCACATGGTCACTACACCTTATAACATAAAAAGTCATGACTCGCAACAGGGGAGGGGAATGGGGAGGAGGAGGTAGTCCAGCATAGACAGACAGCCATCCGGTCCTGCAGCCATAGCGGCTGGTCACAGACCCGCCTGTTCAGGCTGGGGGTATGAAGCGGCGAAGGCGTGGGATGGGGGGAGGGTGCGGTGAGTGTGTATCTGTACGTATGTATATGTGTGTGTGTATCCAGATGTCCTTGGGATTGGGGGAGAGGAATGCAAGAGAGTATCACGGCCTTGTTCTTCCGGGGGAGTTGTTAATTCAGCAGCGGCTTTGGCCGAGGCCAATGCTGATTAGGGGGGAGCCAAAAGCAGATAGAATAGGGTTGTTTGGGTTTTCGGGCGAGAAGCTGTAATTTCGCAGCTCCTCTAATGTCCACTCTGGTCTCCACCATCCAAAATCCTTTGCAAAGCTGTGAGCTTCTGTGTGATGTTATCCAATCGGCGATCAATAGTCACAATAGTCACCGTGCACCGTTTATTACAGTAAATTGAACATGTAGAATATAGACCTATATAGCAAAATTGAAATAATGTTATATTTGGTTGACTCTAAGTAGTTTCTATTGTAATTTTCATTTTAGGATTAAAAATAACAATCATTATTTTCAGATTGTTCTAAATAATTGAAAAAAACAACACTGAATTTCCGCCATCATTCATTTCTTTTTCATAATCGGAATGAAATGTTGCCATTGAAAGAGACGACGGCCTTTCATTGTGTACACTGACCGTCTGTGGACCGTCATTATGACGCCCGTTCATTCACCGAGCCGGCACCGCGCATGCGCACCGGCGCTCTGGAGCCGGCGAGCGCTGGTCGGGGGACCGCCGGAGGAGGGATGTGCAGAGGGATGGGAATCGAGTGAAGGAGACGGAGGAGGAGGAGCGGGTGCTCAGTCTCCGGCCTGGGTATGATAGGTATTTTTCTGTGATGTTCCGTTAATTCGCTCGCTTTGCAGACGCCGTGAGGAAGCATATAACAAAAAGACTCGAGATCTATGAAATATGCGGGACTTCTGTCGTTTTATGTTGCCGCATTTGTAGTAGCATAATCGATTTGTACATTATGTACTGAGAGGTCGCGTTTTATTTTTATGAATATTGCATATCTGGTACGATTTAGTGTGAATATTCGTGGCTTGTTCAGATAGAAATATTATAAGTAATTGTTTGGACTGCCGAGTACCAGAGCGCTTTCCGCCCGCCGCGTAGTTTGCACCTGAATTTGCTCAGTGTATAGTTTGTCTGGCCGTTTTCCCGTGCGTCCTGCTGGAGGGGACTGTGTTGGGTGCGCGAATTTTGACGGCATCCTGTCGCCTAGTAAAGGACATCTTGAGGAGCAGGAGCGTGTGTGGGTCAGCGCTGTTCTGACTGATGCCCTCATCTCATTACACCATACTTCTTGTACCAATTATCCAATATAATCATATAACGCAGACTTGGAGAGACTCATCATTTATTACGGAGAGATTTTCAGCGTTCACGAAACCAGGAAATCACATCACGCAGACAGCAAAGGAAGTCTGGCGTTAGCGGTGCCCCATGTCTTTTACCATAATTATGCATTATTATTTAATGATTCCCGATTTAATTTGCCCTATAAGCCGTATTGGGTCGAAGTGGCCCTACATCGTAGAGGTCATTGTGAAAGTGATTAATAAACAAACAAATGAAACGTACACCGATCAAACCCTTTCATATCTCAGCATCATGTAGCGTGAAAGGGTACACAATGTTACTCTTTCTAAGGATGGAGGGGGTAAGGTCGGCTGACCGTCCTCTTGCAGAGGTTCTCCTCCCTTAACTACTGCTTCACAGCCGGCTGAGAGAAAACATTTATGAAAACATTTATGGATGTTTTTGCGTTTGATAGCTGACCCAACGGCATCTACTGAGCAGAATGAACGTCCCCTGAGAGAAGAATTCAGTATCTGTGATAGCAGTCTGTGAATCTTAAGCATCGTTAATATTATACAAAAGTGAACGTTTTTAGATTTATGTTAAATGCTGGAAGATTGATTTGTATAATTATCAGTAGACTGATAGGCGAATTCTTGGGGCTTCTTGTATTATGCTAGATAACATATAATGAATCTAAATGTTTCTATTTTAGATGATTACATTTAAATGTTATGCTACGGCTTATATATTCAGTCATAAATTATGTTGAATGGCTAAAGGATAGTGAGTTGACATATATTTGTGTAGGTCATTCACACAGTTGAGTTTTTAAGTCCAAACTTGAGTTCTGGTCCAAATGCCCACGTTAATGTGGAAAGCACCCCCTTCTGGGTGATGTGTGTAGGAAGTGGACCGGTCCATCTGGTTTCATCAACCTTGGGGAGTGGGTGGTCTGCGATCAATGTCTACAGCTCTCTCGCAGGGGTGGGTGGGCACTTCTGTCTCAGAGTGGGTGCTGTGATGTTCATACATTTTATAAAAATCTGTGCATGCAGTCAAAAAACTATAATAGCCAAAAGACTTGTATTGTATTTGGTTGCTTATGGGTAAGGTTAGAGCTGGGTAGGGGGTAAGGTCGTCGTAGCTGGGATTAGGGCTATGCCCACAGAAATGAATGGAGCGTCCCCAAAAAGATACGAATATGTTACCTGTGTGAGTTTCCGTGTGTGTGTCCCGAGTGCATATCTGTGTGACCCATGAGGATCCGCCCACGTGTCCTGCATTGTGTATCTGTGCACGCCGTGTCTTTCCCTTCACGCATGACCCTCCCTGCCCGTAGGCGTGACTGATGGCTTCCTGCTCGGAGATCTGTGGGTCGGGCCACGCTGGGCAGAGCCAGGGCGTCGTCCGCTGCGGATACCCGCGCTACGGCGTGCGCTCATACCTGCACCAGTTCTACGAGGAGTGCACCGCCTCGATCTGGGAGCGCGATGAGGATTTTCAGATAACGAGATCGCCAAGCCGGTGGAGCTCTGTCTTCTGGAAGGTAAGTATATCCTCAAGTTGCACAGCGAGCTCTAGAAGATTCCACCTGCGATAGCCTGCTCCTCTTCATCTTGGAAACCAGAGAGTTTTTTTACAAGGTAGTCATCTTGTCATCATCAGCCATTGAACATGGCAAAAAGACAGCAGCCAATGGTCGGCTATATAAAGATCATGTGACTAAATCATATGTCCTTGACTAATTAACCCATGATTAATTAACCCATTTTAAAGACATCTGAACTAGGGTTACCAGATAATCCATGTCAGGGAGGACACTCCTAGGACAGGATTTGTAAATTACCGTTTCAGTTAAAAGGACCTGGACTTCACTTGAGCACTGAGTTCTTGCTGTGTGCTGATTGGTCAGTCTCCTATAATCATGCACGTGTCACTAATGCTAATGTGAAACAGCTGGATGAGTCTTTCAGTCAAGGAAACAAACCAGTCAAAGCACAAGAAGAGCTGAACTAATTAGCCAATCACAGGAGCCTTTCGGTTTGAAAGTAGTTTGTAAAACCCGAAGTAGCTCATAGTGTTTCCCTGACATGGATTATCTGGTCACCCTAATCTGAACTGGCTGCCTTGACCTTGATGTACTCATGTACCTTCAAAGGGGGTTAGTGTTATAATAACTGTAATTAGTGTAATTAGTGTAAGTGAGCATAGTCACTATGCTGTGGTGAATTTTCAAAGAACCGTTTGTGCTTCTGAGAACACTGGGCCTTGGTTGTGTAAGGGTCCTACAAAGGTCACGTAGAGGTCATTCCGAGGTTAGAGGGAGCTCATGAAACCCATTGAAATATTGCTGCGATATTTTGCTTTCAAGCCATGCATGAAATGAGATTTTGGTGTAAATTTCAGTGTGAAGGAAATACAAGAGATATAGCCATCGCCTGAATTAGCGGTCATGTGGGGCAGGTGGGTAGGAGGATGGAGGGAGTAAATAGAATGTGCAAAAAATAACAAGCTTGTAGTTTAAGGGCTAAGAAGAATTACATATAATTACTCGGCAAAACAAATAAGCATATTTGTATATATGCAGTACTGTGCAGAAGTCTTAGGAAGTCAAAGAACATGATGAAATAATCTTCATGTTGTTAAAAACTATATTATGTCTCTCAGTGTGTCAAAATAATGTCACCCCAGCAAGCGTGCAACACACCCACACACATCGACCTCTCACACATCTTCTATGACAAATTAATAAAAAATTAATTAAACTAAATTAATTAATTAAGTGAGCTGGTGGTAAATTTGACAAACTCGTGGATTGGCTGAAGTACCCCTGTGGGGAGGTTTGGGACTGAAACGCTGTTCATCTAGTCATCAAACAAGATATCAGTGACTTTTTGGGAAGGAAATTCTTGCTAGCTTTTATTGTGTTAATTATTGTGTTTATTAATTTGCATACGTTTTAATGATAAATCGTGCACTTCTTTTGACCAAATATACACTTACTACACTTAAATATTCTTTAAACGTTTCCTTTGCCTGCCTAAGACTCAGACTGTACTACATGCAGCAGAAAATAATCAGATAATGATTTGATCCACATCAATGAGAAAGTCCATCTTCAGCATGTCAGACCCCCCCCCCCCCCCCCCCCTCTGCCCTGGTCCAGGTCTCTCTAGCGTTCGGGACCCTGATTCTGACAACGGGCCTCGTCCTCCTGACTGCCGGATACACCATCCCCTCCAAGATGGAGACCTTTGGCGACGGTGACCTGTTCTTCGTGGACAGCAGCGCTGCACGATTCAACCATGGCCTGCGGGTCAGCCAGCTGGTGGGGGCTGCGCTGTTCTGCGCCGGGGGGGCGCTGCTGTCAGGGGGCCTCGTCCTGTTCACCTTCACCAGGAGCTACTCCCAGGAGGAGAAGTATCTGCAGAGCAAGTTCAAGATGAGGATTGCGGAGACGCAGCCTACTGCACAGCCGGTCACGAGAGCGCCCCCTCCTGGACAGGGCAGAATTCCAGTTACGCTGTCCAAGGTGCAAAACGTTCAGCCGCCGTCTTGAGCAACCCGCATAGATGTCATCCGTCCCCTTCAAGGTCAGCTTACATGGTTAAATTCGGGAAAAACATACAGAATCCATATAACCTCCTATAAGACAGATAGACCCTCAGTAACCTGAAGCCATTACAACAGTAATCAAACTTCTTCCATTTTAGGCAGAAACCCTGAAAGTACCACAGCTGCCTGACCACACACCACATCAACGGCACTTAAATTGGTCATAAAATGTTTTTTCAGCAAGACATCATCTCATATTGCACAGGCACATCATACAGGAAAGACACTCCAACTTAAATATCTGAATTCATATATATAAGTGATATGAACCCCCCCCCCCTTCCAAGTTGCATATGGGACCTCCTAACTGCAGAGTAGCTTCCCAAACCTTCTATAAGAATGAAACACTTTCAGGTTTAACGTTGATTTACCTGGGGACGTAGCCTAGAGGTGCTGAACGTCTAGTACGGTATGTAGAGTGAGACTAACCTCTGTTTCAAGCTACTTCCTGTCAGGTGGCAGATATCAGGGCTCATGACCCCCTGCCGTTCCTAAAGGAACCACCAGACATTCGGAAATACCAGCAGACCCAAGCCAAGTCAGACAGTGACAAATCCCCACAAGTAAATTGATGCTGATTAATTAGCCACGGAAACCTGATTAAATCGGACATGTAGAAGTGTCTAGATTGCCTGGGACCACGTGAAAAACATAAACACCCAGGTTTTAACTATACATAAAAAATCTTTCCTAAAGTTTTTTCTCTCATTTACCAGTAAACAGTGGCTTCATTAACTTGCTGACTCTGCTTGGCTCTTAATTGCAATGCAACCATGTATAGCTGACTTGTTCGTGGTCCTCATATATTTTTGTAGTTCTCTATAGGCTGTGATGGTACTAGAATTGACAATGTTGATTTTCCATGCCAAATGTAAGTTTACAGAATATTTATTAATGGATATACAGGGAAATCCCCAGGTATAATGTTTATTTAAAAACAGAACATATTTAGATATTAAATTTTATTCATTTAATTAAATTGTTTACTAATGGTGACTAGCCAACCTTTTTTTGGGTGCAAGATGTTCTAAAATTAAAAAAATATACTGTGTCACTGTGCAAATGAAGATGTGTGTGTTGTTAATGGTGAAAAGTTTAATGTATTAGTTTAGTTAATTTCTCATTTCCTGGAGAACGTTTTGATGGGCTGTAATGGCGTGCGTGGTGTACAGAGGTCAGTCGTATGGGATCTCAAGGACATCTGCCGGATATCTTGGTGGACGCTCAGAATTCAAGACTCATGGACAAAAATTATTTTTCGAAGTTATTCAATGAAATTAAAACCGTTGTCTGTAAACTGTAACCAAAGCGTCTATATTAAAAGCAAATGAACTGACAGTAATACTGTTTGTGTGAAATGTCTTTGCAGAATGTAGATCTGCTGCTCATGCTCTGATTTAGTCCCCTTGAACGTTAGAGGAAAATCACGTCTTCATGTGACCGAAACGCTAAAACACAGATTTATGTTTGAACTGTTTATGTGGTTGCCCTGTGATGGACTGGCATCCTGCCCTGGGTGTCCCCAGCCGTGTGACCCGTACTGCCTGTGATAGGCTCCAGACCTCCCTCCACCCAGACTGGGATGAGTGTTCAGTAGATGAATGTTCCTATGGTTGTCATTTTTTGTGGTCGCCATCAGCAGTAATGGCAATAGCCTTTGGTAGTAGTAATCCAGTAGGGGGTGTAATTATAAATGCTACTTGGAGAGATCATTTGGGGGGGGCAGCATCTCCTTGGGCCGCAGACAGACACGGGCAGTGGGTTTGTAGAGTGTTCTAATGATTCATCAGCGAGTCTGAGCTCTGGGTGAGTCATGCTCACGGGCTTGTGTCACGAAGCAGGATTTCTTGCTTAGCTGGATAACTTGTTGGATTTAAGGTGGTCTGGCTAAATGTAAGTGAACAAAGATAGAATCTGTTTAAGCTGGGGTACCTTAAATCCAACAAGTTGTTCAGCTAAGCAGGAAATCTGGATTTTCTGATACAGGCCCTTTGGATTTTTAAAGGAGTGAAGGGGCCCCCAACACTCTGACACACCAGGCCTGTTTCTCCCTGAGACTCGAGATACTACCCTTACCATACTGCAATTACAACACTACCGATTACAGCACTCCAGTTACAGCACTCCAATTGCAACACTCCAATTGCAGCACTTCACTTACAGCACTCCAATTACATCACTCCAATTACATCACTCCAATTACAACACTCCAATTACATCACTCCAATTACAACACTCCAATTACAACACTCCAATTACATGACATTTTTTAGTTTGCTTGTTATTTTAGATTTACCTAAGTCAGCAGAATTTCTATCTCTGCTGGGTACTGTGCTTAAGACAGGAAATCTGGAGGAACATGCACATACACACAGACAGACAGACACACTTACACACACACACACACGTGTAGTTCATGTATTCCTATCATTGTGGGGACTCTCCATTCATTTCTATGGGTATAACCCTAATCCTAACTAGAATCATAACCTTTACCCAGCCCTAACCTTAGCCATAAGTAACCAAACAAAATAAGTCTTTTGGCATTTTTAGTTTTTTGATTGCATTCACCGATTTTTATAAAATTGAGCATTATATTGGGGGACCTGTATTTAAAGTTAAGTGATTAATTAAAATAGTTGGAATTCAGATGTAAATGAATCAGTTAAATTTGTGCTGACATTTTCAAACCGTTGGGATTGAGGAGTTGTGACGTAACACCCCCTTATGGGGGGTAGGAATCCCAAATACTCAAATCCAGGGGAACATTCCCCTAAAGTATACTTATTAACAATGTTAGCAACTTACACAGTTGGAACCATGCAGCTAAATGCTAGCGGCTAACGGATGCTTTTGGGGAACATAGCCCTGATGGGCAGCTGAGCTGTGATCTCCAGGCCTGGACGGGTGGAGTCACCTAACAGCCCCGTGGGGGGGTGTATGAAGTGGGGAGACATATGCACCCAAATATTTAACGTCAAGTCATTCATCCCCCAAATAAACAGACTATTGCATTTAAACTGTGTCCCCCCCCCTGTACCAAACTCTTCTCCTTTGCTGTTCCCCATGGGTTATATGACTATTTATACAAACACAGTCTGTGAAATGTCCATGATCTGAGACAGCGGGCAGGATTTAACCAGACCCTTATTCCACCACGTCATATCGATGTACAGCACAGCTATGAAGACCAACACATTAACACCTCTATCCAAGTCCTGCCCCCTCCTGTAGTCCTGCCCCCTCCTGTAGTGTCCACTGATACCAGACTGATAACTGTGCTTAACCAGAATTACTACAGCTGTACAAATAGATGAAACCTTTAAATTCTTTTGAATGAAATAGTCTGATAAACACTTAATCAAATAAAGAGGCATTTCTGGGACTATTTTTAAACAACACTTTTATGACATCCATCTTCTAACTTTTATCCTTTTATGACATTCTACAATAATATGTGATCAGCTTAATTTGTGGTGTATTCAGTGTTTAAGTGGTAATAATTCCAGACAGTGCAATAAGATGTGGATTAAAAGCATGATGAGATGCATTTAAGTGTAGGTCATAGCTTGTCATCTACTGACAAAAAGTAGGTTGAGGTATAAATATGCATTACATATTATTTTGTATACATTAATTGGAGTGTATGTATTGTACAATCAGTTCCAATGATTTAGTGTATATACATTAAATATAACTAAAGTAAGATGGCCGGTAAGTGTTAAGGCACTCCAAATTTAGAAAACACAAATCTATTTGTCACATGCGTAGTTATACATGTCAATTTACTTTTTTCTGAAGGTGATCAGGGGTTAATTTAGATTAATTGTCCAATATGAAGCCTGCTAGCCTGAGGATAGAAGCTCCTGGAGTCTCTGTCTTGGCCTTCAGGCTGCGGGAGCGTCTGGCTGATTTCAGCAGGCTGCACACGCTGTTGCTGGGGTGTGTGGAGTCGCTGACGATCCTGGTCGGCCTGGTCCTGCAGTGTGTGATGCAGGTGTCCTGCAGGGAAGAGAAAGCCGAACGGGATCAGCGCTCAGCAAAGCGGACGACTTTCTGTGATCGTTTGCGGTCCAGCGCAGTGCGGTTTCTGTACCAGGATGAAGTGTTTGACGAAATTACACCTTCTGTAGCACCTGTATATAAAGTCTTGAGGATCACTGTGGAGACCTTGAATTTCCTCAGCTGCCGCAGGTGGTACAGTCTCTGTCTTGCCTTGGAGACCTGTCCGTGGATGTGCTGTGACCATGTCAGGTCCTCGGAGAGGTGAACTCCAAGGCATTTACAGTTGTTCACCATCTCTACTGGTGCCTCATTGAGGTAATGAGGGGTGTAGCTGCTCTCTTGACAGTACAAACTTGACAGTGGAGTTGGACTTATGGTGACCTACTCTCACCACTTAGGGTCTGCTTAAGAGAAAGTCCAGAATCGAATCGCTGGTTAGGGTTAGGGTTAGGGTTGGTTAGTCGCTGGTTAGGGTTAGGGTTAGGGTTGGGGGGGGGGAGGCGTTCAGTCCATGGTCCCTCAGTCTGGAGGCCAGTCTGTGGGTGACTATTGTGTTGAAAGCTGAGCTGTAATCAATTAACAATATTCTTACATAGTTCCCTTTGTAGTTGTCAAGATGGGTGAGGGATTTGCAGTGTTTTTTGTTTTGCATGTGTTTTCAAAATTTGTGTTTTCTGAATTTGCAGTGCATTGACACGTATCAGCCACCGTACTAAAGAAACATAGAAGATGCATCAAAAACACTATATTAAAGATTAATACTACTATCCTACCCCTTTAGCCAGTGGCTGAATTCTAAAAATATTTCAAGAGGGATGATGGGTGTGTGTAGCAATAATATTTATCGGGACAGTATATTTTCAAAGGGGGTGTATTTAGTCCTTTTTTTCCACAAAGGGGATAGCATCTGCGTACACCCGATGACACACCCTGCCTTTAACATTTGGCCAGTTTATTTTTGGTGTGTCGGTCTGTTTAAAACGATTTACCGTTTTACCATTTTTTTATAAAAACGATGCAGGTGACGTAATGCGTTTTATTTTTCCACAGATGATGCTGCCCTCTGGTGGCAGTAGAAAAATACATTATATAACATCCCAAGCATGACATCACTCATACTTGAAACGAACATATCAAAACAGAACAAATGTTAGAGGCTGGATGGAAAGAGTATTCGAAATCTCGTCATCTTCAAGTTCAGGTGTTGCTGCTATTGTTGCTGAAGCACGTGGTGGATTGTTTTCTTTACTAGGCAAAATTGTTTATTCAATCCTGTTAATGCAAAATTTCAAACGTAAGCTACATACTGTACAGCTGAGCAAGCCTTAGAGGGTTGGATGTCATGAACATCACACTTGCTCCAATACTGTGTTTATAAAACAGCCCCCAAATGTTGCAAACAATATCCAGGGATGAACAGGAAAACCTATTTAAAAGTCCAAAGGCTACCTGCTAAAAATAAATAAACAAATAAGAAAACAAGAAAAAATGGACGACTAAATGAATAAAAGTAAATAAATAAATAAATGGAATTATATGATCTTTTAGCTAATGACCAGATTAACAGATTAGATGGCCTCCTTACTGTCAATGCGCTTTGCATGCATTCCTAGCGCTAAAATGTAAAAATAATGATGCACGTCTCCCCCCAGTGGTGCAATGCGCAGACTGCAGGTGAAAGCACCCAGCGATCGCAACTGAAATACCGTTACCCTTATCAGCCGGTGAAGTCGCCGTTTTTTAATACAACTTGATTAATGAATATAGATGGATATTCTAAAAATAAAATGTCAATTAAAAGCTAATTAATATCATTAAAAAATATTTTTGCACAATATAGGACCAAGTTGTGGTGAAGGAACAGTACAGTACTGTTAAAGGTGCGTCCTTAATATTAAACTTTAAATTATGTACTCTTTTTTCACGAATGTTAAACTAATGTTTAATTTATGTATCAATTAATTAGTTAATATACCCAATATTGATACCATGTAAGTAGTTTTCTCACGAGCCACAAGGCGGCTCCCTTTATCCGACGGCGAAATCCAGGCGAGCCTGAATCCGGTGCTTTATTCATGAAAAAGGGGGATTGCTTAAAAACAGAGGAGCCCTAGGCAGCATGGGTAGGCGGGGGGTTGGTAAGTGGGCCATTTGAGGTATCTTTGGAGCCGGAAGACAAACAAGAAGGATTTGAAAACGGTGGAACATCAATAATACGCAAACCACCGGCAGCGGTAAAACTTACCGATCAGGGAGGTAAAATGGATGAGGGGGGTACCATGCCGGCAGATCGATCGGCCCATTTTAAGACATAGTACATAGTATTATATGTGTAGTTATGTGTTTTGCTACTAAAAAAATTAAAAGTCCCCCCCCCCCAAAAAAAAAAAAAAAATCTGCTCCCTACTTGGAAAGAGTGTAATCGCCAAATTATTCTTGCCTATAATTTGGCAATGTGGTATATGCATTTCGGCTCGAATACCTTTTAACTTTTTTACTTCATTTATTGCACTGCAGAAATTTCTTTGTTTTGTCTGAATCATTTCTATCGACACAATTCAAAACAAAGTACAAGTGGAGAAATAATAAAAATAAATTTGTAGATTGTCGAAGCTGCTCCTGACAGTTCGCTGTGTAAGAAGCGGCCCAGTTAGGGAAGCAGATTTTTTTTTAATGACTTGGAAATAAATTATAACAGTTGCTGTCGATGAAAGAAAGTCCCTTATATTAAAAGGACACAGAAATTTATTTGTGACATGACTAGATGGATCAATGTTAGGCCTACCCTTAAAAATATGAGTGAAGGCTGATCTGTACCTTGGTAAAAATGCTTTTTTTTTTGTTGAATTGTATAACTTTGTGAGATCATACATCATGAGGGCCCCCACTCCCCTGCACACGCTCTGTGTGGCCCCTTACTATCAGGCAGGGGGGTTAGAGTCAGGCCTCCTTCATCATGAGGGCCCCCACTCCCCTGCACACGCTCTGTGTGGCCCCTAACTATTAGGCAGGGGGGTTAGGGTTAGGCCTCCTGCATCATGAGGGCCCCCACTCCCCTGCACACGCTCTGTGTGGCCCCTTACTATCAGGCAGGGGGGTTAGAGTCAGGCCATAGGAACATGGTGTACAGATAAACTTTACAGTCACTCTCACACAACACACCTACTGTGCACTATGTACACATTCGGCACATCACCACACTCACACTCAGATTGCACTGTCACTTTACAGCTACTTAATTTATATGTTTTTGTTTTTCTATTTTTTTTTTATTGCATTTAAATCCCCTTCCTTTAACTTTCTTGTTGTATCGCTCTCTTTTCGTTCACACTGTGCACTGGGACCCAAATAAAAACATTTCATTCCTTCATGTTGCGCAATGTTTTGATGTATAGGAATGACAGTAAAGACCTTTTAATCTTGAATCTTAAATCTATTGACCTGGATATTGTCATGTGGCACTTAGTGGATCTGGTTCTGAATTCACATGGAGGCTCTTCTGCTGGGTACCATAGGGTCCTAGGTTGGGCTGCAGCCACCCTGGACAGGCACGTACAAGCACACACCCCATGAAATATCATTCCCGGGTGGGGGTTATATTCCATCTATGTTAACAACCGAGAGTCTGCGTCTTTGTTGCCATCTAGTGGTCATGAAAAACACAGTTACACCCTGATGAAACAAAACGCTATGATTTGGACTGACGGTGTTTGACTTTTTATTTAATTTTTTAATTCTATTTTTTTTTTAATTATTATTATATTTAATTTTCTCACTAAACATTTTCCATTTGTTAGAATTATATTTCATTGTGACCCTTGATTGGATGGATGGATGGATGGATATACATATACATTAGCTAGACGGCGCTGCATGGGAGGAAAATGCATCATGTAATATGAACAGTAGTCATCAGTACTAGTCATACAGTCTGAGAATAATGTGATGCCCCATCCCCCAGAAAAACGCAGAGCTGTAGCTGAATGCAGCCTTACGCAGAGTGTCTTACTGTTAGTGTTAAATTACAGTAATAATTTCAGCTCTAAGCTCTGTCTTGTCGCCACTCTGCAAGAGCAGAGGCCTATTTTGAGTGCAATTTTTGAGTGCAATTTTCACTGTGGTCAGGCTCCATTAGGACTTGACATTTGAAATTTGTTGAAACCAAAGAAAAATGTTTCTCCCTCTTACACCTTCAGTCGACTCGGTATCGAAAGTGAAAATAATGCAGTTTGAGTCCTGAAGGAAACAGTCCCTGAGCACTTGTTCCCAGTTTCAGCACAATTTCAAAATTCATGTCCAATTTCATGATAGCTCCAGGGCAGAGGAAACAAATGTCTCTCTTCTGGCACTCATTATAACTACAACAGTGGGCTTACATAAACCCAGGACGTAAACTTAAGAACACGCCTGGGATTTTAAATGCCTGAAGGCATCAACTGAAATACAGCACAGCTACTCATACAAAAAATGTACCTGTATCTTTAAGACTGTATGTTCATGAGGGAAATGATACTAAGTTTGAGAAACAGTGTAGGAAAGGGGAGATGGTCTCATTTAACTGTTTGTCCCTCAGGGCCACCATACTCCCTTTGTTCTGTTTAGTAAATCCATTGACGTTAGGAACGCTTATTGTGGGATACAGGGGGCCTGGAACCAGAGGTGGGAAATCCAGGTTCAGAAAGTACAAATCCAGACCAAGATTGTTTCAACCAACCAGTACTCTGCAAATGTGACTCTTTATACTCAACTGGTTGGTTGAAATGAAATCTTGGTCTGGATTTGTACTTTCTGAATTTCCCAGCTCTGCCTCGAACCTATGCCAGTCAGCAGAGGGCAAGGGTACGTCCTGGATGGGATGCCAGTCCTTAGCAGGGTAGACACACACACACACACACACAAGCATATACTACAGGCAGTTTAGAGTCAGCATAGCTTGACATCTTTGCGATGTTGGAGGAAACAGGAGTACTGAGAGGAGGCCAGTCTTACATGGGAGGACAAGCAAACGCCACACACAGGGTGGGGTGGAAATGAAGCCCTAACCCTCAATATAAAATACAATATAAACACCGAGCTGCTGTCTCACTTGTTCTGTGTAGTTACTCCGTGAAAGTATAATACAGTGTGGTAATCTGAAGGCATTCAACCTTCTGCTGCTCCGCAACAGCTAACGATGGTGTCATAGGGGTTAGTCTGCATCACTGTTTGAAGATCCGCATGCCTGTTTGGTACTGAAGACTATAAGCAGACCTTGAGTTTCCACTAATGCAGAGTGAACATAAGATAACAACTTGTTGCTGCTCGAATTTGGGCCCGTTAACTGAGACCACTGTGCTACCTACAGCCCTGTGCTCCGGTCAGAACCTGCTCCATTCGGGTATGAAAGAACCAGGCCAGAGGTCATGAGGAAAGAGGTGCCAGGGTGACAGGATAGGATCCACATGGCTCTTTAGAGACCGAGTCCCAATCAGATCCACTGAACTGTTCCAAATAAATCACAGCCCACAGCAGTATAGCAATAGCACAGATATCAGCGTGGCCTCAGTACCCATGTTACAGAAATGAGGGGTTGCTTTGTTACATTGTAGAGAAATCATAATAATCAAGCACAGCCTTTGTGCAATACCACACATTTCACATTTGGTGGTACATTTGTGTCATTGCCAAGGAGCTTAAACTTCAAGCAGATGGACCACAAGGTTTTACACATGAAGTCCTACTGAGCTTTGTGCTGGTGCAGATCTCAATGCTCTGCATCTCATATAAAAAGGTTTCAGCAGCTGTGGTTAAAGACAGTAGCGAAGTGTGTCTCTGAAATGCCTGTGATGTGTGACCGTGAGAGCATGTGTGTTGTCTGGGTGAATCAGACCAGTTCTGAGCACCATGTCACAAGATCGTCTTGGTCCGGGACTACACACATTATAAAAGCACAGCAAAAAAAAATTTAAAATCAGCTCAGGTGTTAATTCCTTTATTCTTTATTGCTCAGACATTGTGATAAAAAAAATCAGCCTCTGTAAATGGGCCCATCTTAGATGATGGTGCTGGTGGAAAAACAGGGGCCCACTGACAATGTCACGCTTCTTCCAGTCAGCCTTCCCAGTTAATCATTTGATATGAAAGGAGTCAGGCAGACGCTTTTCTGGGGTTTACCTCAAAGATAATCTAGGGGGCGCCAGGAAACTACCTGAGAGTTTCCGATCTTTAATTCCACACAAAAACAGGAAGCAAACTAGGAAAACTGGAGGGTTATACAGCAGGTGGGTTTTATGGAGGCGGCCGGCTCCGCCATCGGCTAACGGCAGTCTGCCAGGGCGTCCCCTCGGATCACCCCTGCCGCTGTTTGTGCCTCGGGTTCGTCTTGCAGAACACAAACAGACGGCCTCTCCGTCGGACGAAGAAGCAGTCCTTACAGCGTCTCTTCAGGGATGTCCTGGTCTTCATCCCAGCCACCTGCTGCCAACACGCCAGCTGCTGACAGGGTCCGAGCCAGCGGGGCATCGACACCAGCGCCGCAGACACCCCCATTCTGGAGATGGAGGACAGACACCTGTGCAGTGCCGTCTGCGGCAAGGAGCCACTGAGCCTGTACCTGGGCAGATTATACCAAACCTGCCTGGTGAGTGAACTGAACACACGTATGAGTGACATTGTCCCAACACCTGAAAAACAAACCACACAGACATCTCACACAACAGCCATATCATCCTAAACAGCTTCAGGTTCTTATCAATTTGTGAATCCTGATATCACACTGTACTGACCTGAGTGAAACACCTCCCTCAGGGGAATAACAAAAAAATCCCGCCGAGCAAACAGCTAGCTCTCTTCGTCTGTATCCACTGCAACCCCTCCCACCCACAGTGTGTATCTGTAGGAATACAGATACAGGAAAAACGTCTTCAAAAATCAGTCATTTTTACAGGTTTAATTTTTTATTTAATATTGTAAGTACCACACGGTGCCGACTCAACATTCAGGTCTACATGTATGTATATATTGCATATATGCAATGCGTTTTACTTGATCTATGGCTTAATGGTTAAACAGCTCACATTTCCTGTTAACTAGCCCTCGCTTCCACTACGCAATAATAAAAACTTGGTTCTTTGTATGCTTTTAATAGCTGTGGAGTTATACAGGTTTACTGGTGGTCGTTTGCGGGCGTTGAGAATAAGCGCAAGGAGACTCGCAGGCAGGGCATCACGCTCCCCCCGGCCGAGGCTCCCCGATCTTCCCCCACTAAACGCAAATGTATCGGCACCAGCGACGGTACAGGAAAACGCGCGATATCAGATTCGGAGAGGCCAGTGCTCACCTTCATACGGCAGTTATAAGGACGATGCTGTGCCAGTGAGCAGACTCAGGGCGCCGCCATGCTGCCTCCGAGGTGCGCGACTGGCAGCGCTGCGCCGGACCCGCCGGGTCCTTGAACCCGCCGGTTACCTTTGTCACGGAGCCGCAGTTCCGCACACATTGTACCTTTATTTCTACACATTGATCGTCATGATTTATAAATTACTGAAATTAAACAGATATATGATTTTTTGCGCTATTTTATATTTTCCCCCAGTTTTATATCTTGGAACTTCTATTTGCTCTTTAGGACCCAGAGGCACCACCGAGCCGCTTCCACTGACTGCGGTGATTTATGGGTAAAAAACACACACACACAAGTATCTCGGGAAAGATGGCGGCTGCCAGGGCCGGTTTGTTGCCCTTCACCGGCGGGGTCCGGGTTCTGCTGGCGTCGATCAGGCTGCGAGCGGCCCCTGTGTGCTGGTACAGCGCGCCAGTGGCCCGTACCGGAGAGAAGGTGACCCACACTGGGCAGGTAGGACCGCGGTTCAGTGTGAAATATCGAGCGCTGGGGCCTGTTCTGTTAACCTCGAAACCATGGTGACACTATCAGTCAGCTTTCAGTCGCTCATCTCTGTTTACTGTTGTGTCATTCTGGATTTGCAGTAGGCCTACTTATACATTGAATGTGCGTCCTTATACATACATACATACATACATACATACATACATACATACATACATACATACATACATACATACATACAAGCAATGTAACTTAGGGTTTTGATACAGGAGCATTTGTACGGAAGTGTCTCCAAGCATTCAATCAAATGACCGGTAATTAGCATTAATGATTTTTGGCTGATGTGCGCTCTTTTGCAGGTGTTTGACGATAATGACACCAGGAGGGCCCGGTTTGTCGGCAGACAGAAGGAGGTACAGTTGTTCTCTCTCCCATACCACTGGTGTGATGATCTACGTCGAAAACCCTAACCCTAACCCTGAACACTGCAGTTTCAGGGCTTTCCTGACAACATTCAATGACTGGGTTTAAGATGGAATTAAATAGTAACTAATTACTATTACAATTACGATTTAATTTGTATTTATGCCTGTTTGTATTTATGCGGCTGTGTGGACTGACTAGGGTTTCTGTGAGGTTTGATCCTGTGTAGGCCAGTAATGGAGATGGGTGTCCTGACTGCAGGTGAACGAGAACTTTGCCATCCAGCTAGTGGCAGAGGAGCCCGTGTCCTACGTGCAGACTAACGTGGTGTCCTGTGATGGGGGAGGCGGTGCCCTGGGTCACCCCAAAGTCTACATCAACCTGGTACCTAGCAGCCGCTTGCAGTGGTCGTGTCTGAAACTGAGGGGATTTTAAATCTGCTTTAACTTGGCTAAATTTTGTCTGTCTGCTCCTCCGACGCAAAGGCCGCAGCAGGCTGATTATTGGCGTAACTGCAGCCTCTGTGGTCTTCTGGCTTGTCAGTGACGAGTAGCACTAGGGTGAGGTCTACCTGCTTTGGGCGTGCTGCTTCAGCGACTGTTTCCTCAATCTTCCATAGGACAAAGAAACAAAGGTGGGAACGTGTGGATACTGCGGACTGCAGTTTCAGCACAAGCATCATCACTGAGGATCTGAAGCTCTGCTCCTGTCCTTTGTGTCTCTAGTGCTTTTTCCTGCTTATGATTTTCTTTTATTTGTTTATGTGCATATTTTGTCTCTGGAGATGATTTAGAAACTCACCATTAAAGCTCTGCTACACTTGGTGTATACATTCCTTTGGTGTTTGGAAAGACACTTTTCTTATTTTGTATGTTGTCTGGTATGAGATGAATGTCTGAAGGTGATCTTTTGCATGTTTGCGTCCATCATTGTTACACGTATCATTAATTACAAGAAAATAGTAAATATATTTAAGAATCTAAAAAAAAAAAAAGAAATCTATGGAATATAAGCTTATTGTAGAATATATGTCCAGGGTTACATTGAATGATTTAGGCAGGGAGGGTTATTCCATAATAACTCTATCGTTGTTGTTGCTTTATTCCCAATATATAAATGCTACTCTGGCAAGTATGCAAATTTGCACCAATCAGCGTGCCGCAAAAAAAAAAAAAATCGAAGCGCTGTACTGGAAATAGCCACGTATAAATGATCAGTGGCCATTTAAATTACACAGCGCTACGTTCTTACCCATCCATCTTCCGGAACTTATTCACTGCACAAGCCTAGGATTCCCCGTGTAGAATTCAGGTCTGTCACAGGAAAATCGCAAACAAACTCACAGCAATTTAGAGACACCAACTTAACCAAACCGAGAGTAACCGGAGCGCACGGAGAAAAGAAGCAATCCTCCGTATAAGCAAGGTAGCGTGAGGCCAGGCCGCTTAAGCAGTGCTAGATTTTTTATTTTATAACTAGTTTTTTCATTCCAGTCGACTGCCTCGCAATGCAAGAAAATAAAACTAAAAGGGAAAGAAAGGTTACCGCGTGATTAAAGCGTGGATCGATCCATAGCAGTGTTGACAGATTGGGCCGTTTTGGGTTGCATTTCAATTGCATGTGAATTGTGTTCATTGGGCCTGCTGTGGTTGGTAGGTTTTGTTAAACCGTTGCGTTACAAACTCTTCGCCGTATCAGGCGGCCTGTTGCAGACAGTATGGAGCCCCGGATGGGCCATGGAGTGGAAAAAATCGATGGTTGTGGAAAAAATGGAAAGGTGGGATAGACGTTTGCGAGATCTCGCAATACTTATCCATTACCATTAATTACTGCACTGTGTGCAGTACAAAAGAATTTATGGACTAATAAGTATAAACCTAAACGATATAGACGTGTCCTGTAAAGTGTGATTTAAGCACTAAACTTTGGGGGACACTGCACACCATGTAACTTTAATATTATATGTTTTTTATGTATTTATTAATAATTGCAGTGTCCATTCACCGCCAGTGACTTTAAGCAAGAGGGCTGGACTATTGAACGTGAAATGCACATCGAAACATTGAGAAACATTACAAACATTGAAAGACATCACAGCCCGGAAAACTTTACTGCGGTGTTGGTGTTAAGGTTTAAATTTAAACTCGAACCCACTTTCTTGAATATTTCAGTATAGATTCGCATATCCCCACATGCATCATCGAGTGAGAATACCAGGGAGATATACCCGAAAGTGAGTTTGGGTTTAAACCTTAACTACGATGCACGGTAAAGTTAGCTTACATGAGACAAGAGAAAGAAAATCAGCGTGAGGTATTTTTAATTTATTTTACATTTCCCATGTGATTGAGATTTTGGCTTCTAAAAAAAGCATTTGGCTCCGAAATATTTTGGGTTTAGGAGCCATTGGCTTCTAAAGTTATTATTATTTTTTTTTGTCTGGAGCCCTGTAACGTGAGTTGTTTTAAAATAATTATAAAAAAATAATACGACATTCAGTTCAATATTTTCAGTTCAGTCTGTTCAAGTATATGCTCGCTTTAGTAGAGTTTTAACACAAAAATGTGTAGAAATCATATATGAGGGCATAGCGGGAACGCGCTTTGATGAAGCTGTTTTAGGGGTGTCGCGCTTAATACAGCGTGCGGTGCCGCACAAATTGAAAGAGTTTGACCTCTGTGGAGATGCCGACTGACATTGCGGGGAGGGCACGGGGCCGCCTGTTTGCAGGATGCCTCCCACACCCTTGAATAATGAGAAATTACTTACTCTCTGAGCTCGACTTTACAAAGGACACCGGGGATCTCCACCCACCGTCACTTTCACATAAAGGGAGGAGATTATGGATGTACATTACTCAACACCGCCCAGTAAACTCACCCAAGCTTTCTAACCGATGGGAGAGAAAACTCTCCCGACGAGTTAAAACAAATTTAATAGCTTTATTTTATTTATTTATCCAGTCAATGCATAAAATATTGAATAATCGTGTATATTTATAATAATGAATATAATAAAATAAACGATGTTTTCTCTGTGTACACTTAAAAAAGTGCAGGCACTAATATGAACAAACAAGCTATGTTATTTTAAATAATAGGTCTATCACCTTTAGTGTGCTTGTTCGGTGACATTATGGACGGCTTCGCGAACAAAATCCCGTTTCAGCATTTCAAGAAGATGAAATGATGATGTTGAGCACTTACAGCAATCAGCGGACGCTGTGTGCCGTGACTGAGGGAAACGCGCTTTTCCTCAAGCGCGCCGTTAAAAGACTTGGAAATTAAGACATGCGAACATTGAAATAGATGAGCTGTCGGAAGATTGAATTAGTTGAATTAAATGGGCCTTCAGATGTTTAACATTTCTTTAAGGTTTTTCTTTTTTACCTCCTTACCTTATTATGAATGCTTATATGAAAGTATAGCTGAAATATGATCAATCGCTTCTTCCATGCCGCTTAACCAGTGGTGAGTTACTGTGCGATGTAGATTTTGAAGATCTCTTCTTTTACGTGTTTGCTAAAATAAATAAGCCAACAGAATTAGTAGTTTAATTTTAGTAGAATGTCCTAAAAATTCAATGGTATAGGGTTACCACACATACCAATTCCTATTCCATTTATTCTTACTTCGATTACAATAGCCCTGCTGCTTTGATAAATCAGTCTATATCCAAGTCATTGAAAGTTAATGAGTTACTGCCCTTTATTACCTAAAAATCATTTAACACGATCCGTCATTTACAGTTATATAAACGAGAATCGTTATTTAATCAATAGCCAAAGTTACTTTCATGTGATTATGGTATGAAACCTTCTTGGTCTTTTCCCAAATATTCACTTTGTTTAGTTTCCTATTTTCATTTATAGTACAATCAACATACTTCTAACAAAACCTACTAACCACAGCAGACCCACTGAACACAATTCAAATGCAACCCAATTGCAAAGTAGGAAATAACTCTGCTAGCGTTTGGTCTTAAGGTTCTATTTATAGGCTTAATTCTCGATGCATGAATAACAACAATCTCACGTGAAATATGTGGGTCTTATCGGTGTTTCCTGTTTATTTCACCTATGTACATTAATAGGGCTACATAACAGCGGCGGCTAACTTGGTACCTTAGACTGAGCAATTAAATCGTATGATTTATTATTTCTCTGTCTTCTTTGCTAAGCTGTTGTGACAAAACCTATTACCGCTCCCCGACGTCCCAAGTGGGTATATTTAAAGACCGTCTATCCAGATATTATCGATCGGAATTGTAAATATTTTATGAGTCCCGTCGTTTGAGGTCAGGGGATTCTCTTACTCGCGGCTACGGATGAATTTATGTCCTTTGTTTTTCTCTCGTCGTCACTCTCAAACTTCCTCAATGAAAAGTAACGGCTCACTGATTATACTTGAAGTTTGAGCCCATGTAAAAGTACTGTAAATTTATTTTACTATCCACCGCTAAACAGCCAAACGAATGAAACGGACCGTATCAAATGTAAAGGTACATTGAACATCTATTAATGGTTTTAAAAGTTCAATTTTAACAGGTTGACATTTTCAGAAAATGTGGAATTTCTTATACATCTTTGTAACATATTAAGGACTTATTTCCATATATAAAATCGTTTTCTCAAAATATATGTCTAATGATAGGAATTTTAATATAAATGAAATATTATAGTAGGTTTACTTCAGTTACACAGCCTATACATTAACGTTTGTGAGTCGATTTTATAGTATCGTATAGTATCGTAAAACATAATAAGGTAGCTTAGTAAGAACAATACAAATATGCATTCCATTAAATAAAGATTAATTCAAGTTTATTTCTCTCATGTCTATTGGAAATTACTATTAACGATGTACAATACAGTTACTATGTCACGATCGTGATATTATTGGTTTCAAAACAATGAACATATGTATGAGGTTAAGATAAAAATTGTACTATAATATTTACAATATATTGCTTAACTTTAGAGGTCTTTTACATTATATTACAAAGTACCTGTTGTTTTGGATTTCTAAAAAAAAAATATGTAGGAATACGACAGACAATTTTCGCTTCACCCGTCACGGACACTGTTAAACTCATTTCAGCACCAAGGACAGCATAAGGAATAATCCCACCCATAGAAACAAAAAGTGTATTTCAACGAGAAAACATGTAATTCCTGTTTAGGGAAATGTGTGTGGTTCTGTGCAATTTTGCAGTCGTTAACGAAAGTCACGAGACAGACAGACCTATAACGAAAATGTCCCTCTTTGGACGTTTCACATGTGATTTTACTGCCAACTATTTCCACTTATAGTACTTCCCAGAGTTTTGACAAGACTGTCAAGTTAGATTGTTTTTCAATAAGAGAAGAACAATTTACTTCCTGGTTTCGAAAAACCCGACAAGTCTTTATTTGGCTGTTGATGCTTTATTGATGCTACTTGCTCCTTCATCACGCCGAAAGATGAGTCGCAGATTGCGGACGCCTCGACCGCGCATTCTGTCGAGGCTCCAGACACAGTGGTATTAACCAGCACCTGGTTTACAGATCTGTGCCGAAATAACGGGTCATGGAAGACCCCGTCCACCCAGCTCCTCAAAGTGGCTACTGGGGAATCCTGTTGCCTGTCCATGCTTTTCACAGAGTTGGACACCGGCGACGCACATTTATGCATGCAGGATGGATATTCAGCTGGGTTCAAAGAAATGGCCGTATGTGCCAGAGACCATATTTTCGGCTTGTTGGTTTGGGATTCCTCCGTATAAACTATTTTTGTCAGCTCTCTGCCGTTAATATTTCCTTCGCAGCTCTCTGGAAATCTTCGCAAGCAGCTTTTG